GACCTACTGTGTATAGCTATTCCTTTATTTATTTTTATACAAATTATTACAAGAGTAAATGAAGTTATTAAACTAAGCAATGTTTATATCTACGAGTAAAATTACAATTACCAGCGTAACTAATCATATTTTTAAAAACATTACATCGTAAATGATGCTATAGACTGATATCAAGTGCTTTTCAGACGTTAAGTAACATAGGTTTGGTGTCTAAAATCTGCTTTAAAAAGTGTGAATAGATTGTTCGAGCATGAAAGCCCAAAGTATTATTGAATCAAGTTGAATTGTTCTGGCTCATTTCGTTAATTGCCTTTGCATATTTTCAAACATTTATTCAAATGCGTTATTTTCTCGCCTTGAGTTTTTCATTGCCTGCCAATGCTTGGTTAATTGTTGCCTTTAATTTTTCATTGTCTACTCTCAAGTCGTTAATTTGCTTTTGCATATTTTGGAACTTTTCGTTATTCTCTGCCCTCAATTCGTCAATTCTTGCATCGCATTTTTTCTCTAATTGAACGATTTCTTTAAGCAATTCTGCAATCTCTGACGATTGCTCGTCTAACAATCCATACATTTTTGGTATTTCAGGCAAATTCAAGTTATTCAATTCGGTTTTAAATTTGACATTAGAAACTTCTTTCCTGAGATTGCCCACATTGTCGACAAGACCATGTACGTGCGTTTCAATGTTTTCCATGTATCGATTGAATGACTAAATTTTATAGCTGTTTCCGTGTCTGCAAATAGTTGAAAATATTTATTAGCAATTCATGATAAGTCTTAACAATCTTAAAAAGTGTTATCCTTATTGTTTATATAATTTCGTAGAAGCACTATTGCTAATACGCATTTAATATTATGTACGACTAGTGTTTTAAAATGGATATGTTTCGACATCTCATGATGTCATCTTTAGTATAAGTGAAATAATAAATTATCTTCGTTGTTGACATTTGGTAGTGGAAAGCAGAGAAACTTTGGATAGACGCCGAGTGAAAGACAATCTTTAAGAAACTTAGCATCTAGTTCTGCTTTCCTTTGTTTGGTTTGAAGCTTTTCAAACTTTCGCATTTCTGATAGGGAGACCTTTCCTTCGTATTTTTGTGCTATGTCGTAAATAATGTTTCCATAATTTCGTAGAAGCACTATTGCTAACGCGCATTTAATATATACGGCTAGTTTTTTTAAAATAGACATGTTTCGACATCTCATGATGCCATCTTCAGTATAAGTGAAATAATAAATTATGTTGGTTGTTAACATTTGATATAATACAAAACCCGATAGCACAAATTATCCTCGCGTTCGCTTACAAAACTCTCAAGCAATGAAATTAGCACCAGTTAAATGTGAAATTTCTAATCTATCATCTGGTCTTACTTTTTTAAAAACAGCTAAAGTGTTTTGCGACATATTTGGGATTGAATAACTCTTAAAAAATTCACAACAATTTTACATTCACAACACATTGTCACTAAAGCGTAGCAAAAGACGGGGCAATGACAAAGTTGACTTACTCATCCGATCATTATTATGATGAAAGGAAAATATCTAACCTTGTTTTGTTGCTGTCCAACTTGCTCTTCTTTAATCTATCAGTGGTACTAAGAGATAGGTTCCTTATATGCTGACGCCTGATCGTTATAATCTTTATTTTTTAATTTATTATGAAAGACATGTTTCGACATGTCATCTTCAGTATAAGTGAAATAATAAATAACACAACGTTATTGCATTATATAAAAGTAATATGATACAAACCTTATAAAAACCTTATACAAACCTTTTTATATAAACCTTGTGTTATTTATTATTTCACTTATACTGAAGATGACATGTCGAAACATGTATATTTTAATAAACTAGTCGTGTATATTACATACGCATTAGCAATAGGGCTTTCACAAAATTATAAAAATTTTTTATGACATCATAAACTGATGTCACAATATTTTCAGAATAAATACAATACCACGTGTTATTTGTGACGTGCTGGAATGAAAACAATTCCACCAGCTATAACTAACCTCATTTGGCTCGGTTATATTTGCATAAAATGAGGCTTTGACCACAAAGATTAATTTTTGTAGTTCAAAGATTTGTCTTAAATTTTTAAAAAACACTTACTTTTTAATGTCAACCCATAATGAATTTAAAATTTCAAGATGAGTTGTCGGTTTCGTTATGCTGTTGTCATGAAATTGAAACAGGTCAAATCTATCGTAGAACGTGACTGATTTATATCAATCCTCTTTTAGTATTGTTTTTTTTTAAAAAAGACGATTTTGCATCTGACATTGTGAGGCATTTTTAGTAATGGACAATCAAATATTCATTAAAAATAATTTATTTACCTCTTGCATGGTTACAAAAACAAATACAAGGATATGAAACCATGTTAACACGTTTTTAAAATGACCTTGGTGAAAATTGTGTTTATGTTGGTGATGTTTGGGTAAAATAATAAGTCGAAATTTTGTCATCAGTGTGCCAAAATATTACTTTTGACCAACTGAGGATAACAGTTTGAGTTTTTTTGCTTATATGTTTGGTGTTTAAATGTGCATATATATTGGCTAAGTGCAAAAGTATGCTTGCAAAGTTTTGCTTTCACTCTTGTTTTTAAATTGTGACACATTTTATACTACATTCTTGGCAAATTAGAGAATTGTGAAATTAAAGACAGTGCAGTATATGTGCAAAATGTTTTAAAGGAATGATATCTTAAATATTCTAGCTTATCCATGCGTTCGCTTACAAAACTTATTAGCATCGGATAAATGCAAAAATTCTAATCTATTCGCTGGTATTAGATGTTGTAGAGCAGCTAAAGTATTTTGCGATATATTTAGGATTGAAAATTTTTCAGGTAATTCACTAAAATTTTACTCATTCACAATCGAACTTCGCTAAAGTGTAGCAAAAGACGGCGCAACGGCAAAGTTGACTTACTCATTCGATCATTACTGTGATAAAAAGGTAAGAATCTAACCTTAATTAATTGCCGTCGACCTCTTTCTTCCCTTCTTCTTTAGACACACAATGAATGAAATAAGACAACAAAATGGTTTCCCTACTTAATTTATTATGACATCAGAGACTGATGTCACAGTATCTTCAGACTAAATACCATACCACGTGTTATTTGTCACGTGGCTAAAATGAAATTTCGTTTTTGTAATTAGTAGATTTGTCCTAAATCCTTAAAAAATAGACCCGCAATGCGTACATTTGGATAAGTGTAAAATAGAAAGGAATAGAGGATTCTACTGTTGGGCTTTACATGTTTTTGCTCCTAAGGTAAGGCCAGAAGTCCATTTTGAAGAAAAAATTATTAGAGTTTATTAACAACAGTAATAAACAAGAAATTCGGTGATTCACAAGAAGTTATTAAAACGAAAATACTGCACATCAGCTATTTCTCAGCAATAACATAATTCATGTAAGCAATGTCCTATTTTTGTATGTTGTGTGTAAAAAACCCAATAAAAAGGAAAAGAAATTAAGCACATCGCATATCACAAATGAGCTTGATGCGCAAATATAAAACAAAAATGAAATAAATACTGGGAAACTGAAATATGTATCTTCCATTAAAAAGACCCAGTGAACATTTTTGTCACCGTAAAAAGACATCAATGCTACATGTAAAAGATGTATTTATAAAAAAGATATGCATAATACTGAAAATATTCAAATAAAATGTTTTTATCTATTTTTTAGCATTTTCCGTTTTGCAGTAGTTTGTCAGATCAACCTCGATTCTTGTCAATTACGATTTTTAACGTAGATATCTCTCTAGGTATAAGCTAAACATGGTACAATGTAGAGAAATTGTCGAAAAAACGACAAAAAATAAAATTTTTGACGGAACTCCCGTTACCAAAAATAAAAACAAACATCGATCACCAAGAAAATATGCACTATTTCAGGGTGGAGTAGACAAATTTTAGACGTATGTTGGCCAAACATAAGACTTTTAAAATGTTGGGCTATTATGTTCATATTGAAAATTCGCTTTCCGCCTGGCAAATCTCTGGCCACGTATGTTGGCTTCATCCAATCACACGGCATTCTTAATGGAGTTATGATTCCAATGTATTTATAATTCAGAGGTTTCGAGAAATCAATTTTGTTGATCCAGAATGCATTGCGCTTTCACAATATGGCGACTGCAAGAAGTGATAAGTATAATTCTTCGACAATTCAAACAGTAAAGCTATACTTTTAAAAACAATACAAGGATGTTAAATACATACCCACAAATATGAAAGCTTCGCTACAACATAATGCTTGGGGCGATGTATATTTTTAATTCTTGTACGACAGCAAGAAATATCATCGATATTCTGACTTTGCTGTTTACAAATTTTTACAGCTTCCTTTGCTTGAGAGATTATAGCACTGTAATTTGGCATTTGGGAGGATATAGCTTTCATACTTTTGCTAATAGTACTTGTAACACTACTTTCTTGATGATATTTAATAAAACTACCTAATGTTTCTCAAATGTATGATCAATTAAATGGCCGCAGTGGTCCGATCCAAACACTTTGGAATGTTGCTCGAATTAAGAAACCGCAAAAATCATTCGCCGTCGGCTTATTTCTCGACACTTTTTCATGTTTTAATCGTCCAAACAGAAATTATTTGATCACTAAGGCACGAGTGTACGCCTAAGAAAGGGGTCTTGTTTTAAATAGCATGCTTAATACTTGCATTAAATTTCCATCCGTGTAGTTTGATAGAATAAATACAAGGAACGCTTGTTCCACATGTTTTAAAATAAAAATTTTTCGTACACTTATCCGATATAATTCCATTTCCTGAAGAGATTTTGTAAGACAAAGAAAACCACGGCATTGTGACAGAGAATTTTATAGCCATTTCGAAAGCAACTGAGTAAATTTTTTGTATTTTGAAGTTTTGAACCTACTATAACTAATAAAGTTGCAACGTGAAGAGTTCTTTATAGAACTCAATGAAGAACATACACGACGAAATGTGATTTACTTTATTCATTTATATAAAAACCAAAAATCCTTAAAAGGAAATTCAAATTTATTAAACATAGCTATGTTAAAAATTAAGATAGAATTGTCTTTGTAATAAGTGCATGTACCGGCGTTAATGTGGAAATAATTACATTGAAAATGACGATATTATACGAATTAATGCTTTATATAGGTGTTGAGGAACATACGTTTGTGCTCAAAATTGCCTTTGAATCGTGTAAATAATGTTGGTGTATGCATGAAAGTCCGAAATACAGTCAAATCAAGTTATTGTTTTGCTTCATTTCGTGCATTTCCCTTCTTAAGCTGCCGATTTCTGTTTGCATACTGCTAAACTTTTGATCGATCCGTTTCATTAATTCGACTATCGTTAATAATTGACCTTCCAATAATCCATTCATTTTCGGTACTTCAGATAAAACCAAGTTATTCGACTCGGTCTTAGTTTTAACGTTATCGACTTCTTTCTTGAGATCGACGCAACTGATGACAAGAGAAAGTCCGTGAGTTGCAATGTTTTCCATTCCAATTTAATGACTGTACTTTAGCGCTCACCTCTTTCTGTGTCTACAAATAGTTAAAAATGCTTACAGTTAACATGGTTAGTCTTGAAGATCTTAAAAATATCAAAAATTGCGCAAACAACCATTTAGTTATGATCTAGATAGCTACTGATCAGGAAAACGTCTTTTTTTCTAAGTTTGTTCTTCAAAACATGTAAAAGCCTAAGTACAGTTGAAGAAATTTGATAAGTTTGTTTCTGCGACGACTCTGATTATCATATCTGTCTAATATCAACGTGTCATATAAATTTTTATTTGTTTTAACAATACTAGCTTCCAAGATAATGAATCCTTAAGTTCTGTTTTTTATTGGTTGCATGTAGGCATACCTACGATGTTGTATGCTGCTGAAAAGCAAACGCATTCCAAATGACTGCATTCAAAGATTAAACAGGCGTTAATCGCAATTGGAGCAGAATATAGTCCTATCAAAATGTTATTAAGATAGTAGCAACAAAACTACACGACACATTGATGTGAATTTTTATGCATGGTTTCATCTGCCTTTTTTAGGAGTAAAAATTTCTCCTGTTATTATAAAATTTCATTTCAACAAAACAGACGAGTAAGAACTCTATAAGAGAATGCAAACTACGGAATATTGAGGTTTGCTTGATATTGATTTTGTATCATAAGATATACATGTATAAATTCACTGAAAGTGCTTGTTATTTCATATTTTTACAACAATAAGGTCATCATTCATAGAGGCTCATTAGTCATTACATCATTTCACATTTTCTATTTACTTCACCATCTTTTACATTCTTTTAGGAAAATCAACAACAATCAAGAACAAGTACATGCTTAAAGCTCAAAGTAACTTATCAGATTATTGGACTTTGACGTTTTACCACTTATATCTTACAATTCTGTTATACATGATACCAAACTAGACAAAATTTAGAATTATAAGCCATTATCTCAGTAAAAACAGGCCCCGTTTGTTTCGTGTGCACAAAAATATGTTTGTCTTAAATTTGAGAAAGAATTTCTTTTGTAGCACAAGAGGAAAAAATTCAATAAGGTTATATTAAATAAAGCTTCATAAAAAACAATTTATTCATGAAAAAGTCGCCATTCTGTTTGTTTCTTGATATTTCTATATATGGCGCTGCTTAGTTAGCTTTCATATAAAACTTCACATAAATTTAGCTCCATTCTTAATTTGTTTTTAAGTTTTGACAAGCAGACCTTAAAAGTTAAACATGCATAAACACCACAATTTTCACACATCTAGCAACCTATATTTGCGTACACTTTGCCAATAGGGGGTACCTACAAGAATTCTTAATTTAGTTGAATATATATTGTCTATCATCTTGTATATGATCTCAAATACGTTAACTTTACAAGTACAAGTTTATTAGAAATACAACACTGAAAGAAAAAAACATGTGCTCAATTTGAGGGAAACAAAACTGGCAGTATTTGGTACAGTTTTCTCTGTTTTTGTTGACGTCTAACATTTCCAAAAATTAACTCTATAAATCTCGCTGAAAATTAACCAAGTCAATACTTGCGCTAAAGTATTTGCATATGTTGCTTGAAAAAATACTATTCTAGCTGCTAAAAATTAACTATTGATTAACTAATTTTCCTTGAATTTAATACTAACAATCAATGTTGGCAACTTCGGCAGTTTACAAGTGAATTTCATCATAACATTGCCGAGGAAAGAAAAAAATAAATTCAAAGGAAAATTGTCGATGGCACGAATTAGGCGTAAGTCGTATCACAGCAATTGCCAATACTTTGTTGCTAAGCAATAAGATATAAACGAATGTAGCTTGCGTAATATAAAATAGACAAGAAAACATTTTGAAATAATGATTTGAAAAAGTGTTGATTGAAAAACAAATGGTTGGTTTTATATTGTGGAACTGAGAACAACTCGTAAGGCAAATTTTGTTTGTTCAAATTTTTGTTGTCCTCTACCTCAGGAAGAGCTGAGCTTACTAAACCAATGCGTTCTCTTTCATTTTTACCCAAATTTTACTTTAATTATTACAAGTGAAAATGTTTTTCACGACGAATGGTTTTAGAAAACAAGTCTGAAAATAAAGTGAAATGTTTAATTTTCTGGGATTTTTTCAGGAGGGAATTTTCGATTGAGAAGACAAAAAAAATACGATACAAAAAAGCTTCCCTTGAGCTCTCTGAAATGCTATAGACACGGCTTTTCTAGTTACTACTACCATAAAATTCTTTCTCAACTTATGCAGAGTATAAATCTTGTACGTAGTAGCGATAAAATTAGTTACATAAAAATTTAAACGTAGTTAGATAAGTGTACAAAAAGAACATGCAGTATAGCTTTAGCTGTCACCAAGGGATAAACGTTTTTATAAATACGTCATAAAAATAATTTCATTACCTTTGTCTGTTTTTCGTGCCTACGGATGCTCAAATGATAGTGTTATTTGTTACTGGGGCTTTTTGTGCGTTTATGGAAGAGTTAATTGTAGCTATTTCCCAAGTCCTGATTGGCAGCGAACCTTATGTGTTTCATTTCAATTTTAATTTTAATTTTAATTTCAAACGTCCTGCTGTGAAACCATAGAAATGTTATAATGTGATAAATACAGGCACTTGTGGTTTAAAAAAATTTTAAATTATTTTCAATTACTGCTCTCACGGAGTCAAAATTGCTCGTGCACTTTATCAGGCTTTTCTGGTCAGTTTAAAAGATTTCTAAGACAAGCATTTCATCTATTTGTAAAAACTTGCATTCGTAAACTATTTTATTCCTCAAACATTACGTCATCACATATATTGCGTAGATTCATATACGATGTTTCATTTAATTCTGAGAACCCAATAGATTTGGAGGAAACTAAGAAATTTCGCCAATATTATATGTAAAATTTTAAATAAATCTATATTCTTTAAATGATATAATAAGAGACATTTCATTTTTCATGAAATTTTTGTCTTTCAAAACGTTGCAACACGCATCTGACATTAAGTTAAAAGCGTTTTCCTTTGTTAGGTTAGTGTATACAACAAATAAGGAAAATATAAAAGTTTATTACATGGCTGAGACAAATGGCACACGTCGATTGGTTTAATTTTGGCGAAGATTAAGTCATCTCGAAGAAAATCATCTCTTGAAAACATTAACATTTAAAAAGAAACAAGGAATGCAGTGAAAGCTGGTTTCGCCGTACAAGGGTTGATGGCTGGAGGAATTGTCTGAAGATTGAAAAGTTGAGCAAACTTTAAACGTTGGTCGGGTCATTTTGATATGAGGAAACTGGAAAATGTTTACTGCACCTCCTGAAATGTTAACCACTGTACGCCTATGCGTCCGGTGACGACGAAAAGCACTACTAGAGTGAGCTTTGCTCATCGTGCAGAAACAAATGACTCAAATATTGCGTTTAGATGCGAAGACATAAACACAGAACAAAAAAAGCAAGAATACTTTTGAAAACTTGAGTGATTTGTCCGGCAATTCTACACCAATGCCGTTTATGTAAGGCAAAATAGTCCGTTACCCCCCTACCCCCAAAATTTGTATCCAGTGCATCTGTCATGACAAAATAAACCAAAGGAAATGTTTATCTTAACAACAAGTCTTCGGTGCGCGATGAGCATGTTTTGGTTTTAACATTTACCTTTACAATTCTTTAATTTGCAATCAAAGTATTTTTTGGTGTTTCTTGAATTATAATATTGCCAAGAAAAATTGTTGGTTTTTCACAAAAATTTAATTTAATGAAAAAACAATTAATACAAAGGAAAACTGCGAGACAAAGTGTTGAATTGTAAAACTGTGAATTGCATTTTACTTTAGCCTTAAACTTAAAGTGATATGTTTTAATATAGAATATACTTAGAGCTAGAACAGAGGCCTCAATGACATTTTTTCACATCTTAATTAGACGCTACACATAAAGCTCTCGTTAATGTTCTCACAGAAATTTCACGCGAATGAAACGACGGTAATTGTTTTCGGCAAAAATTCCCTTGGGAAAAGAGTTCGGGTAGTTGTAAACAACAACGAAATAGTCAATTATTTTCAATTCTTTTTCAAACACTACAACAAAGATTAACGCATTCAAACTTTAAACATACTTTAATCGCAATTGGAACAGAATATAGTCCTATCAGAAATGTTATTAAGATAGTAACAACAAAACTACACAACCCTTTCATGTAAAAACAGTGATACAGTATCGCAATATTGTCAAAGTTGCATGTATTCTGTTTATACGAAAGAAAACATGCATTCCATTTTTAATTGACATTGTGAAGGACGTAAAATTTATTCTTTACAAAACCTTTGAAAGACATATTGCTGAACACATAAGATTTGGCCAAAAATTGCTATAAAGGCTTTTGAATAAGCGCTCAATAGTTAAATGTGAAACGTTAAACATACATCACTTGAACTGTTTTACGCACATGCACGCAATCGTACCTATTTTGTATTTCACTGGTATGAGAATACACAATATCATTTAATACAAAGCATTTACCTGTTATCTTTAACTAGATCGATGTCGCTGATACCTGTACTAAAATGACAGCTGTACTACTTTGAAAGTTTATATTACGAGTTTGTCATGAATAAGAAATGAAATAAATGAGCTGTAATTCACTGAAAATGCTTGTTATTTTATATTTCTACAAGTATTACTTCATCATATAGAGGCTCATTCCACATTTTCTATTCACTTTACTATCTTTTACATTCATTTAGGAAAATCAATATGAACCAAGAACAAGTACATGCTTAAAGCTCAATGTAACTTATCAAATTATTGGAATTTGACCTTTGGTGCGACTAGTTATATAAATATTTGAAAGAATTTATTATCTATTTATATTCATGTATAAATGATAGTGAGAGAAGTTTCGCTTGTTGCTCTTAACGTTCTGACCATGAACCTATATCTTACAATTCTGTTATACGTGTTGTCAAACTAGACAAAATTTAGAATTATATAAGCCATTATCTCAGTGGAAACAATGCCCCATTAGTTTTGTGTGCGCAAAAATATGTTTGTCTTTAATTTGAGAAAGAATTCCTTTTGTAACACAAGAAGAACAAGATTCAATAAGGCTATAAGCAGCATAAAGAAACAAGTTGCTCATTGAAAAAGACGACAATTTCTTTATTTGTTGACATTTCCATGACGCTGCTCATTTAATTTTCATGAGCAACTTTACATAAATTTTGTGCCATTCTTCAAGATATTTTTCAAGCTTTGACATGCAGACTTTAAAAGTTCGACATACACTATACCGAGAATATTACACAGCTTAGATCTATATTGTAGTACACTCTGTCAATATGGGATGTCTCATACATTACCTGAAATAAGAAATTGAACACGTATAGGCAAGTAGTTCGAGAATTCTTAATTTAAATGAATATTGTCCAGCATTATGAACTCAAAAATGTGAGACCTAGCATCGATCGATAGGATGAACAAGTACAAGTTCAATTTAAATATAACGCTGGAAAAAAAAACCATTTCTCGATTTAGAGAAACTTACGTCATTTAGCTACTCTGTTTTTACTGATGCTTGACATTTGTTATAATTGTTTGCGTATGTTGTTTAAAAAAACAATGGGAAGAAACAACATTTTTCATATTATCCATTTCTTCGAATCTAAACTTCTTAGGCTTTTTCAGACATTATCTGATTCTCTTTCTAAGAAATATATAGACAGGATACATCTACGTTCATTACATAAATAAGCAGTCTTTTAGAAAAGTGTTTAAAATAGGCTACAGCCTTATTTTGAAATTTGCGTTTTATAACTATTCCACTTCGTGTTATCTGATACAAAGTTAAACACAACTGTATTAACAAAATTACCAATTCATCTTTCCTCTAATCAATAGCAACTGTGTGCACGGAGCTTGAGCTAGGATAGTGCAAAACTTAAACAAATTTCTTGGCATTTTCATCTGCTTATTACTATTTGTTGAATTGTGTAAAAACTCTTTAGTCAAGTAAGGTTTATAACCTTGTATAAGCAGAACGTCTAGATTATTGTCCTGAGAAGTAACTACTGTTTGTGTTGATGTTGACTTCTCAAGACTCAGCTAACCTACGTGATCTACATCTAAAGACATTTAACGATACTCCCGTGTTCAAAACATTCACTCAACGTTTATATGTTTCTTAAATCATCTCAATATGGACATTTTCACTGCAATTTTGATTTAAGTGACTTGTGTTGACGTGGTAAATAGTGACTTCTTTCACCTGCCGAGAGTCACGCAAACCACATATTAAAACGCACGGTTATACTAATGAAAAGAATATCTTAAAACAATATTGGCAGAAGACATTTACGTTTATGTTTATTGATGACATTATTTCAAAACTTTAACAATTCAACGCAAATGCAGAAAAAGGTAAAAATCAGATGACAAAGTCGCTAGACCATTTTGTTTTTAGAATCATTTCGTGACTAAATTTGCTGTGTAGACAACTTGTAATGAGGAAGAGATTTTTTCACACAGCAGAGATTATAAATATGGGTCGAACAGTTTTATATTTTAAAACTTCCAAGTGACGTTTTGAGGAAGGCATATACTTCACAAGAGAATTAAGAACCTAAATAAGAGTTATGACATACTATGTTCTCTGTTTGAAACTGAATTTTACCATAGTTAAAAGTCCTTCAAAGTATAATAAGAAGAATTCATATGTTGTTTGGTGTCGTTGTAAGCAATTGTAGCTAGTTGCACAAAAGCAGTTGTAGTACAAGTAATAAACACTTGTAGCATAAGAGCAAGAAATTTTTGTCTTCTAACAATCGATAAAATTGAGAAAAGCAATGTTTCCTGTATACAAAATCAAACGACGTATACATGAATAGTTTTCCTGCACAGTAAGTCCAAAAAAAATTCATTCTGTGCTAACAAAACTAACAAAATTTCATCACTAAGTTTTGCATCTATAATTCTTTCTTCAAAGCTCTTGCAATGAACAACTCCGACCAGCACTTTTAGATGACATATATTCAAAAATTTTCTGATCATTTACACGCCCATGTTAGCTAGCTGCAAAGTTTTCAATAGTTTCTTAGCAACGAAAGTGTTTTCGATTCAATAAATTCATTAGTAGAAGCTAATAGTATTGCACTGCATTCTGCTAGTTTGAATAAGAAGGGAAAACTTTCATAAATACCAGAAAACATATTACGTTTGTCTTAGGTAGTAAACACCAGTGCAACACATGCAGTAATTGCATTTCAATATAGTATTAGTCCTGCAATTGATAGTGGGCAAGAACGTCTGTATTGATTATCAAATACTTAAAGAATACTGCTCATATATATATTGAATGATGAATGCTCATCATGCAAGATAGGTGAACAGCATGCTCATCTAAGTGCTCATCGTGCATTATACATGAGTTGTCGCATTTTCTTAAGTTGTTCTGTCAATGTCAATAAAAACATCATCATGACAAAAATAACATATAAATCAACATGAAACAAATTTAAGATGGTTTCAAGTAAAATGAGAATATGCAAAGCTACCATGATTGCACTTCACAATACATAAACATATATAAATTTCATAGCATCATTAATTTCTGTAGAAAACTTTTGATTTTTCAGTGCGTCATCAGAATTGTTGAAACAGAATTACTGAATTTAGTTGTTCAATTTTTCGATTGCATGCAATTTAACCATGTTGTTTGTCTAATACCAAACAATATTTATCATTGTCAGCCGTGGTGTTAGCGTACGCACCCGCTGAAGTGGGTGTGCAACATTATATTCCGTGAATCCGAAGAGAACAGTTGCAAGTCAAGAACAAAGGCTTCTAAGTGTAAGCTTTTTCATCGAATGCATATATTTTTGTAATTGAATGTCCTACAAGACTTTCGATGATTTATCCATTCTTGTATACTTATACTTAAGCTGTAAATTGTCAAAGTCTTTAAACTATTACTGAAATCAAAAAACTGTTTGCTAATGACATGTCACCCGATGGACGAGATTTTGTACCGACAAATCTGCAATTCAACACCTCATTCTGCAATTTTATACCAATTGTATTTATGATGTTCTGGGATTCTAACCCAGAGGCCGAACTCTTAAATTCGAAATGCTCAAATTCAAAAATTCTACCCATAAAATGAATCTGAACACAAAAACATCTGAATCATTGTCATCATTTGTCGGCCCCATATCACGGACACATTTTTTGTCGAAACGAAATGGAAGGAAAACCAGCGAACCTGGTAAAAAACCTTCCGAGCAAACAAAGAGTAGTTTCAATTTTTCAGATGCTTGGACAATACGAAAATGATAAAACAATTTTTGGATATTTTAAGCTTTCGACGGCTAATCCTGATAGTTTTATACTTTGGCAGCATCATGCACTGGGTCTTTATGTATCCATTTATTAAATTGACATTTCAAATGGAAACTAGTTTTTTAAAAAGCAAACTATTAAGGACATGCTAGTTCTCTTCTAGGAGATTAATTAATCATTCCATATTTCTACTTATCATTCAGGGCGCTGGTTCGCTTTTTTTAGGCAATCTTTAAAATGGGGCAGTCAGGTCAGATTTTAACTTACTTGAAAAATGCAACCTAAGCATGCGCTATGTGCTTCCCTGTGCTTAATATCAAAGTTTTAAAATACGAAATCTTGTATACCTAATTAAAAACTGCAACCTTAGTATATGCTGTTTGAATCACTGTGGTCAAAGTTATAGCTGTAAAATGTTAAATCTTGTAACGATATCTCTTTATGCACATGACAAAACTGTGAAGTGAATAAGGCTCCTATCCATCAAAGCAACATTTTTGATAAAGTCAAAATATGTTCTCTTTGTTGCCTTTTTGAAGCTCTCTTTAGTCTTCTAATAACGATGTTTTCAAGTTCTTTCAATGTCATCAGGAAATCCATTTAGCTACCTTGAAGATAGAGCTTTAAGTATGTTTCTGCGTAAATGCGTGTGTAATACAGATGGCCAAGTTGCCAGAAGAGTCGCTTTTCAGGTGAACGACAGCTTTTGATAAATTCATCACGTCATAGTTGCCAACTGCAGCATGTTGAAGTTGATTTATGAAAAAGACCTGATTTTTCTAAAAACTTACGAGTTTATGTTGCCTTTGTGTAGAATTAAAATTGTTTGAATCCCTACTGTTAATGTTGTAAATCTAATCACTAACTGCCCATTTTAAAGAAGTGGATAAACGTTTTTACTGTAATCATTTTTGCGATGATAACACAGTCAAAATTTACGTCGAAAATCTTTGCAACATGCACTTATCGTTTAAACGCTAGGGGATCTAACAATTTCAAATGAAAAGGAACTTCGACGTAAGGGAAATGGCTTTGTATTTAGGAAACGATACGATACTCAATGCAAGAAAAAAACGTCTTTTCACATTCAAAACAGTATTACGCATGCAATTGCCTTGTGTTGTGTATGTCAAGCATTCTCTATTATAAAATAATTAACGAAAAACCTGAATAGTTGACAACTCATCTGCTCTTGTTTTCTTCTCGGGTAACACTCTTCACGTATCGTAGACTTGAATACCACAATGTTGGTAACACCAATGTGTACATCATATTTCCCGTATCTCCTTTCTGAATGACTTCTATTTTACGAACGCGAGTCATATCCAAGTGCAATCCAAAACCTACATTTTGTGACTTTCAGACGTTCAACATTGCATAGTTTATCATTTTTTTCCACATCACCACGGCGCATCATTGCATTCCAACTAGCATTGCTGTTTATCAACAAACCCACACCAAAGTTATGGTACACTTTGTCCAGTATTCGTTACATTCACATAAGTATTGCCATGTCACTATATCTCCGACTAAATACTGCTGTCAATATTACCCATCCTAAAAAGATGTTTGACTTTGATATAGAAGTAAATTTCATGTTTTGAACTTTGAAGTATAAGATAAACACAAAACAGAAAGCATCACTAATACCTTCCATCCAACGTGAGGAGCCACATCAATAAAATGTTTACAGTAGAATTGATTCGGATTGTAGCTCACCACACACGCAACAGCGGGGCCATTCGCTGTTACGCACATGAACAACTGCATTTGCATTGAATCCAAACTACAGACAAACATTTCATTAGTCATAAAGATTTGTCTTCTCGATGATGAACTAAATACAAACAAAGTTTTTCTAAATCAAACATGCAAGTTCCTAATTAAACTTGATAGAACATAAAAATTGCATTACTAGGTGTATAACATGATTTTTTCATCTTGTATAATTTACCATCCGTACGATCATTTTCAAACAGTTCGCAGAGTGAAGCAAATTTACTTAAATTTTACAACGGTTTACAGATATGACACACACTTTATTCATAAAAACAAGCATTTTCGAAGCATATAGATGAAACTATAATCAAGTAGTACTTTCCATTAGTCGACAACGCCATCAAAATTTTCCAACCTGATTAGAACTTCGTAAATAGTATATATTCATACAATAAACAGCAAAAACAAAAGTTCTGTAACGAATTCTTTTACAACAAGGATGGAAAAGATTGTTCTCCTTTCTTGAGATCGCAACCAGACCGATTTTGCAAAGTATATACCGTTCGTTTACACTTCGATTACCTCTTTAACCGTTTTATCCTATACTTACATTTTTGAAGCACGTCTCCCGGTCATCTTCTCAGATAAAAGTGAGCTAATAACACATTTATGTAATTTAACAGCATTTTTTATACATGTTTATCATTCCTCATTTGAATTGATAAAATAGGCGATGCCCGATAATTGGACTCGTTGAGTTCGCATATATTGTAATACAACAAAAGGAATTCCACTAGGGCTAGACATAAACAGGCACACAAACAGGATACATGGCTTAATATAGGAAACAAACAGTTTTGCTTCTAATATGGCGAAATCTCTTTCTCCTTCGACTCCTTTTAGAATGCTTGCTTTCCACATATTCCCAGTGCAGTTGTTCGCTAAACAATCGATTTCAAGATCAACATGCAGTGAATTCAAAAAACGTAAAATTATTCATTCGACGATTGTATATTTGCAATGAAAATTTCAGGGTGTATAAAAATACCTTTAGAATTCATATTATTATCAAAATTTAAAACGCAAATCACAAATGCTGGACCCTCTGGTCCGTAAACATGCAAATTCGAATCAATTTCCTACAAGGTTTATTTTAAAAATGTTCCAGTCATGTCAAATTTTCATGGGCTAAGAAACATGTGTATATGTACGAGTATGGCAGCATGTAAATATGAAATAATAAACATATAGGTTTAATTTCTAAATATCTCATTTTTATTCACTCTGTATTATATGAGATTCCCCGAGGTACTATATCAAAGTGCTGACTATAGTTATTTAAATGAATTTTATATGGCTGTTATAGAAAATTTAAGTAAAAAGCTTATTGATGATACGACAAATGCGAGGTATTTAGCAAAGGAATATACTATCGTATTTAGGTCGCAGCTGTAAATGTCAAACATTGATCGTATGATAACAGTTTAACACAAACAGCGAAAAAACTGCTAAATATTTGAACTGAACAAAACGAATTAAAAACTTATAAAGAAAGCTAGGAAAAGAGCATTTACTTAATCTAATGTACGTAGTGTATGCAAAATTGAAACTTAAAAACACAAATTTGCAAACATTTACTGAAAACAAAAATCAACGTAACTTGTGTGAGCAACTACACGTACCAAACTAGCAACTATTCGTACAGCAAATGTAAATAACTTGAATTATGCAAAGATATCTTGTCACTGGTAGCAAATAGCTTGTGCATCAAAATTGTATGCAGTTCGAAGTTGTAGTGGGCGATTAGTTAACACAAGTTTGCCTTATCACGGCTAAGAGTTTTAAAAAATTCTTCTCGCGTTGCATCAGTAATTCAATTGATTATTGATGTATCCTGTAGTTTACTCGTTCTTTTACTGAAAACCGGTTTGCCAGAGTTTTTAAGTTTCTCATCCAAAAATTTGTGATCTCTGTCTGTAAATCTGGTGGTTGTATTCTAGTCGTTAATCAAAAGAAAATATTTTCTGTTGTTTTTAATGCTTGAATTTCGTCAGATCTCTTAGCTTGAAGGCTTAAAGAAGATCAGAACATGAATGAAATGTATGGATCTGTTGAGGTCTTCTTTAATTCACTTCTTCTTCAAACGCTTCATATTGTTCAGGCATTTCAATTGTGGGATCAGTTTTTAAAGTTTGCACAAGATTCTTGGCTTTTCCAAGGAGCTTTCTAATGGTTTCCATTGGAAGACTGATATACTGCATCACAAGCTTTTCTGAAGCCGCGTTTTATGTCTTAAGAGCATTCAAGATCATCCACATTAAAAATTAGTGTGAATAATAAATGCAATAAAACTAATCAAAATTGTGCAAGAGACTGAGAGCATATCATAAAGTTTTGCCCTCTTCGTGTTTCATGGATGGAAGAGAAATATGCCTCGATACTATAAATGTTGAATGATCGCATAGAACTTTTAAGTTACACTCCTACAGTAGAGTGAAAATATGTGTGAAAGAATGTCAACACAATTAATGCATCTCGCAATAAAACATCCAGCTCATACTTCCTAATTTTAAAAGAAACTGCTTATCTTGGTAAGAATGATCTCAATGATTTGCAAAGACATATATATTACAAGATTCTAAAGAAACCAGGTAATCAACTTACACCAATTACAAAAATGATATTTTGCGCTTTCGAAACAATTAGAATTATTTAACATACAACTGAATTATATTTGAGCAAGTCGACCTTAATATTCTAAAAGCTTCTCCATTTTCTAGCTATTATATAGGTGTTCAATCTACAGGCCCACAATAACCCAGATTTTCTTCTTCGCCAGAAAGATCCTATAGCAAAAAATTAAGCGCTTGTCAACAACATCTTGCTCCTCTTGAAATTTCTGAACTTTTAACAGGCAGAAAATCTTAATCACAATTATTTGAATCGAGCATGGATATACATTTACACGTTTTGTAAAGTTAGACACTCTTTCATTCAACACAGCTTCAACACAATTTTGAACCTTTCATATCAGTAGGTTATGCAATACTCGAAAAACGAAGAACACTTTAGTTTTAGGTATTTTAATTCAATATAAGCAAGGATTATGAGTTGATATGTATACACGTTACACACTTCAGTCAATAATTTAGGTAATTATTATTCACAGCAATGATAACGTTTATCCACACTGACCTCAGAAAGAGTCGTCGTGAGCAGTCTAAGAAACGAAAAATGTGATGGTGAAAATGATCAAATGATGTATATATTTCTTAATAAATTAATGAAAATCCCTTACGACATATGTTGTTTATGACGCAATAGCTTATAAATAGATATAATATACATGTCATGTGTCATTCATGTGTTCATTCAGATAAACACAAAATAAAAATATTTTTTCATACCTTCAGTATGGTTGAGCAAACACATTCGCAACGAGTCCAAACATTCTAGCTTTTAAAATGATTTGTCTTCCCGTGAATTTTTTGTCCAAATTATTTCTAAAAAGAACGAGAAAGTTTTATATTTAAGAAAGAACAACAAAATTTCAACCTAAAGTATAATTCACAAAAGAAGCCGGTCTAAATTCTGCAGTGTATATATTGCTTGATATTTACTCTTTGTATAGCTTGAAATTTCGTACATTTATTTGTTCTACGATTCTTGGAGAAGTGGTGGAATTATATAGCTACTTTGAATACAAACGTTTTCTACTAAACACTCTACACAGTTGCCTATAAATGTGAGCGACGCCATCGGAATTCACGTAAACATAAAATATATAAATTAACGTTCTATCATGTAGCATAAATTTTCCCGTTTATTGACTCCACAATCAAAGTTCTTCAATCTCAATTGTATTTTACAACTAGCTACCAGCCAATGCAGAAATGTTGTAACAAAATACGTACACACCAATCAAGGAATAAAGTTAGTCATGTCAAGATTACAACCAAACCGAATAGTTTTCTTTTCAAGTTGCACTTTAGAGCCTATTACCTTACGACCAGTAAAGCCTTAATTATATATGTTGACGCAAGTTTTCCAATCTCTTTGGAAACTATTACTGGTGGATGACTTCAACATACAAGGAGCAATTGTTAATATTCATACTCTTGGGTTAAATTTATCAAAAGGTTTTGCGCTTTGACTAGCTAGAAAGGTAGAATTCTAACGCCCGTATTCTAAAAGCTCACTTACACTCACACTCAATGAGTGGAGCTTCAAAATCACTTTAGAATTAATCAAGGAACGCAGTTTCACTCAACTGATTGTTTGATTTGAATTATGTAAAAGAAAATCTTGCCTTAGATGGAGAAATGACTTTCTCAATGATTAGATAAAGTGTAATATTTATGTCGCACTCAATGAGTGTAAGTGTGCTTTTAGAATACGGACATAATAGCTCTAATAAAAAAAAGAACGGCTCAGTCAAGTAAAACAAAAAAAAAATGCATGCACTCGGGGCAATCCATACACACAGGCCCAAGACATTGGATTGGTAATTAATTGTGTTATTTCAAGTATAAATGCATGTCCACCAGCCTGCGCTTGGCAAAAAAATGAAAGCAAGCTCTTGTGCAGATTCATGGACACAATTTTTCGTTTATTCTTTTTTATGAATATGGCTTATGTTGTGTTGGCATGGTAGCCAACAATATTAATTATATAAATTTGGCTTCTTTCGATTGTTCGACTTGCACAGACCAAAAAGGCATGTTGAAAAAGAAACAGTTATCCTACTGCAAAATCTATTACCAATGCATCGCAAACACTATATTTAAAAAACTTTGTTAATTCAACACGAACGATGTGGAGAAAATAGAAGTTCAATGACAATATGATTCATAATTCCAACTTAGCTAGGCTCTTTTACACATTTTTATGCATCTCATCTTCTGTGGAAAATACTTGCACGTAGACAAGTTATTACAGGTAAACAGATTTCTTGCACACCAGACAATTTTTCATCAAAAAAAGTTTCCTAGGAATGTTTACTTTTTTAAGTTTCCTTCAGCCTTATATATGAGGACAAGTAGCAAGGCTTCACGTGCCGTCCCTGATTTCGACTGATTGCTACAACACGCGCAACACTTCCAAACTTCCAGCCCGAGTTTGGATCGCCCTGGCGCGAAAAGATATGATGATGATGATGAGCCTTATATATAGACTCATCCCTTTCTGTTTATTACACAAAGCTTAACTTTAGCAGATGAGAGATTGGTAAATTATATGCTTGTGTACAAAATCCTACAGTCACAATATACGAAGATTTTGGCAAACAATCGCGATGCTAAAGACAGTAGGCGGTAATGCCATATGTATCGAACCACTAAGTTACGAACTTAGCTATTAGCTATTTTCCCTTTTTTAGTCGGAAAAAAAATATTCTTAGAGTTTGTAAAATCCTAGAAAACATTGTTAAACATATTTGCTAGAGTGATATCAAAGGTGGCTAAAAATTCTTCAAAAACTCCTTACTTATCAAAATATTTTAAAGTCAATGGACCTCTCAATTTATTGCTGCAGTTGCATTTTCAATATGGATTTGTTTCACGTAGGTAGGAGGCAAATTAAGAATGCAAGGAGCGACGAAATTTCTCGCACTATTCGCAGAATAAGAAAAAACGATCGCACAAAAAAAGATTGAAAGTTTGCATGCATGCATGTGAAATTTAACTTTTTGACGGCGGCGACTTTAATAATTTACATTTTAAAGATAAACGGAAGTGTTTGTTCATTTCCAAATATCTTACAATATACTTTTGTAAAACAAAAGCGCCATACAGCAACTTAGAATTTACACTTTCGGCCAATACAAATATTAGCTAGTGCTTTTGCGTTTTCAATAAATACCATCATAAATAGCCCCATTATAGAAATACTTCACGAAAGAGAGCATATTGTATACAATAGGTTTGCAATTTTTATATATCTGCTGCGTAATAAGTGTATTTGTGAGGTCCAATGATGACTGATGAGGAAGTACGTGTCTTCATTGACGAGCAAGCAAGTCTTGCATTTGCCTTTGAAGAGTCTGCACTTGACCTTTAAGCGTTTGCACATCATCCTGAAGACTTACCAATTTTCCATCCTGTCCAAATACTTCACTTTCAAGGCGAGCAATGCTTTTGTTGAAGTCCTCTTCACTCTCTTGCAATTTTTCTCGCAAAGATTCAATCTCAATTTTCAGTTTTCGGTTCTCTTCTTCCAACGCATTTACCCACATTGTTGCATCCTTTGGCTGCTTTGACGTCTCTTCTTCATTCTCCCGTTGAACTGTTACCTTTTCTTGCAATTTTCTGTTCTCTTCTTGCAACGCATTTATCCTCGCTGTTATGTCCTTTGGCTGCTTTGACGTGCTATCAATTTCATCCAACGTCTCCAAGGCGGCATCCTTCACTTTTTTGATTTTAGTTTCTATTTCCTCAATTTTAGGAAGAATATTGTGGTTATTTTTCTTCTTTTTCTTGATATCCCTCGATATGCCACTTGTCATTTCGAGTAACTCATTGCTACTCTGGATGAAAAATTCCCTTTTCTGAATAAAATCCACTTCTACGCGAGCCATGAAGTCCAAGAAAAACAGTACAGACTTGCTTCTTGTTTCACGTTTTGGAAATTGTGCTGACTGATTGATTTTACCGATGCAGCAGGATATTAATACGTTATTTGTTATTGTATTATAATGAAATGACGTATTCGTTCATTTTAGGTGTTGCGATGACAAAACTACGCAATATCTTAGCCAATATTAAAAAATACTTATTGTCGGATGGTTATAAGATATGAACTGAAGTAATTAGTAAAACACTGAAAGTGCCCCTTTCACCAAATATTTTTTCAGCAATACGAAATCTGTCTATGAAATCTGTCTCTGCGAAAAAATTTTTGAATTTGGTCATATCAACAAGCTTTTATGGCGTCTTGAAGTTGTGCATTTTTAGGCCCATCGTCGTCATTTTCTATATTAAAAAAGAAACTGGCACTAGTTTATGAACGTTAATGCAAAGCTATTAAAACTCAATAGTGTTTGCCATTATAAAGTTAGTTAGCTCGCTGGTTTCAAGGTCACGTGTCCAACGCAAAAGTCCAAAATCCAATTAGCCTTAAATGGTGAGAAAACTTTTTCCACCCCCACAACCATCTTTGGAATTTGTTCGCAGAATTCATCACTAGAAGCGCTTTCACTTAAAAACTCTGTAGGGAATCCGCTCACGTCGGGAATGAAAAGAAAAAACAAACACATGACGAATGTCGAGAATTTTATTTACATTTAATCGGCCATTTATTTTTATCAATAACTATTTGTTTCGTATTAATCATCGTGAACTTTTTTTACGGTAAAAAACCCCGTCAAATTCACTGAACGAACTTCATGAAAATACTTCCAATTCATGGATAATTTTGTCTTGTATACCAATAATACCACAGCTTACAAGCAGAGTACTGGCAATTTATAATTTTCAAAACAAAAGTATAATATAAAATTATCTCATGACACACGAATAATTTGACACTGAATGATTTCATGAATTCAAGATCGTCAGCAAAGACATCATTATACAAATGAATATAATGACTTGAAAACTTCTAGAATGCAACAACATGTCACTGCATGAAAGCGAATGACGATCGGTACCATACAAAATGTCGTTAAAATGGCCGTTTTCGATAATTTTGGACCTCCGAATGTTTCCGGCCTCTTCGTGTTTCATGGATGGAAGAGAAATATGCCTCGATACTATAAATGTTGAATGAGCGCATGGAATTTTTACGTTATATTCCTACAGTAGAGTGAAAATATGTGTGAAAGAATGTCAACACAATTAATGCATCTCGCAATAAAACATCCAACTCATACTTCCTACTTTTAAAAGAAACTGCTTATCTTTGTAAGAATGATCTCAATGATTTGCAAAAACATATATATTACACGATTCTAAAGAAACCAGGCAATCAACTTACACTAAATGTTTCCGCCAACCTCAACGTTCATACTTTATTTGAATTACGAAAGTTTTGATTGCATCATGCCTTATCACGTGACGAACAATGTCTCGGATAGAACATCTCGCGAAGTTGAATAATTATTGGATGAGGTTGAGCGTGATATCCAGAATCATCTATACAGACGTTGGCGTTATCAGAAGTTAACACCCATTCTTGGCCTCAATAATTCTAGATATAATCCGAAAACTGAATTTAATAATTATTTTACGTATTATTCATTTCAACTAACTGAAATAAAAATAAAACATTTCGAATTTTCCATGTAAAGCATTTTCAAGTGGTTAACCAATCAAAACAGAAATTGCTTATATAGCGTTAAATCATGGGACTTTGTTAGTCTCACGAAATAATGCAGCCCCTGTGACTTTGATTGGGCCCAAATGATGACAAAATTTCAAAAAAGTTGTAAATATTATGGCGAATGGTATCTTACATTTAGACTTTTACACTTTTATAATGTTATTAAAAAGTTTTTTAAAGAGCTCGGCAATTCGCCATTTTATGTATACCACGTCACTTATAAAGTTTGTTAACCCAATTAGATTTTTTCATTGTAAAATTATAAAGGTCAAATAAAGTTTTAATAGAGCTCATGATCAAGTGTTCTCGCTTAGTGTGAAGATTTTAATCCTCTACGAGCTTCTTTTCATTCAAATCCCTTAAAATGTTATCCCAAACGCTATATTCAAACGAGGCGTCTGATACGCGATCCCTGAATAAAACTTTAAACGAGGCGTCTGAATAAAATGTTAAAAATTTGATTTAATTGATGATAACTATTAAAACCATATGTATATTATACACGTCAAATCACAAACTTCGAACAAAGATGGTCCGAAAACAACCTAATTGTTTCTCTATCCACACGTAACATTTAACTGAACAAAAATTATTATTTCATTGTACAATATATAGACAATATTTTCATGTTTTACTCATCGCTGTGTTACATCAAATCTTCACAAGTCGTCCGCTTCTTTCTTCTTCTTGCCAAGCTCATCCAAAAGATCTTGGACAAATCTAAATAAATGCGTACAGTCATTACTGCAGACGAAGTTTACAAATATTTTTAAAAACTTCCAACAGTGAGGGTCAATAGTTTCGTATGTTAAAACAAATCATTTCAAAAATACTTCAACATAGCAATTTTGCAATTGTAGTTAGGAGTTTCCACACAAGACGTTTTCCAAACATTGTAGATTCCATATTTCAGAAAATTCTCATTGTGTACGCCCTTCAATATCCAATACGTTCTTACTTTTGAAAAGTCTCCGTTCCTTGTTGCAATTGTTTTTTAGCTTCGTGTGTCTCCGTTGATAGTTGAAGCAATCTATAAATAGAAAGTTTAGGCAAATTGTTTGTAACCGATTTTATGTCCTTTTGGAACAAATGAAAAAATATATGCCCCAATGATTTATTAACTGAATCCTGCAACAATTGTTAAAATTTAAACAACTTTGTGTTTTCTGGAGTAATCACTAGTTCTGTAAGGGCCTCCAGTGTGAATCATATAGACCGTTAATAAGTAAAAACATGTCGATGACAAGTCGTAAACCGTACAAATCAAACGCACAAATTAAATTCTTACTGTTCATTTATGTCCTCAATGAAAACAGATCTGATTTCCGCCCCCTTTCGTCCGTTCGGCAAATCGTCTTTGTCGACATACTGCTGGTCAGATGAATTGCTTTGCACGCTGATTGCACGACGAACCTGGGAACGAACCTCGCTCAAGATGTTTTTCATCCTAGTCATGTGATTGGCCCGCCACTATAAGAAATAATTAAAACAAAATCACCGCCTGCATACTATGGTCTGCAAGACAGGCTACCCTACATCTAACATTTTCATACTCCATTTCGAAGTGCATATTAAGATAAACCGGCATGTCAAAGTTGTATCATTAAAGGCCTTTAGAAAAAACACCTTTAGCTATATCATTGAATGGCAAACCTGTTCTTCGCTAACAGAAAGAGCAGAAAACATGTCGGCGAAGGATTCCAACTCTTCTCGCCTTTTTTTCAGGTTACTTCGGCGATCAAAAACAGTTCTACATATAACAGGTGAAAAAGATCAAGGTTTAAACGTGTGCTTTAAACGTTCGTTTTTTCAGAAATCAAAAAAATCACGTAATCTTCTCATGCAGATTCGAAATATCGTACACAAAAATTCGTGTCGACCTTCTTCGTGAACTTACTCTAGCCATTTCTTAAAGTTGTCGTGCAATATCGTACACAAAAATTCGTGTCGACCTTCTTCGTGAACTTACTCTAGCCATTTCTTAAAGTTGTCGTGCAATATCGTACACAAAAATTCGTGTCGACCTTCTTCGTGTACTTACTCTAGCCATTTCTTAAAGTTGTCGTGCAATATCGTACACAAAAAATCGTGTCGACCTTCTTCGTGAACTTACTCTAGCCATTTCTTAAAGTTGTCGTGCAATATCGTACACAAAAATCGTGTCGACCTTCTTCGTGTACTTACTCTAGCCATTTCTTAAAGTTGTCGTGCAATATCGTACACAAAAATTCGTGTCGACCTTCTTCGTGTACTTACTCTAGCCATTTCTTAAAGTTGTCGTGCAATATCGTACACAAAAAATCGTGTCGACCTTCTTCGTGAACTTACTCTAGCCATTTCTTAAAGTTGTCGTGCAATATCGTACACAAAAATCGTGTCGACCTTCTTCGTGTACTTACTCTAGCCATTTCTTAAAGTTGTCGTGCAATATCGTACACAAAAATCGTGTCGACCTTCTTCGTGAACTTACTCTAGCCATTTCTTAAAGTTGTCGTGCAATATCGTACACAAAAATCGTGTCGACCTTCTTCGTGAACTTACTCTAGCCATTTCTTAAAGTTGTCGTGCAATATCGTACACAAAATTCGTGTCGACCTTCTTCGTGAACTTACTCTAGCCATTTCTTAAAGTTGTCGTGCAATATCGTACACAAAATTCGTGTCGACCTTCTTCGTGTACTTACTCTAGCCATTTCTTAAAGTTGTCGTGCAATATCGTCGTGTCGACCTTCTTCGTGAACTTACTCTAGCCATTTCTTAAAGTTGTCGTGCAATATCGTACACAAAAATCGTGTCGACCTTCTTCGTGTACCTCTAGCCATTTCTTAAAGTTGTCGTGCAATATCGTACACAAAAATCGTGTCGACCTTCTTCGTGAACTTACTCTAGCCATTTCTTAAAGTTGTCGTGCAATATCGTACACAAAATTCGTGTCGACCTTCTTCGTGAACTTACTCTAGCCATTTCTTAAAGTTGTCGTGCAATATCGTACACAAAATTCGTGTCGACCTTCTTCGTGTACTTACTCTAGCCATTTCTTAAAGTTGTCGTGCAATATCGTACACAAAAATCGTGTCGACCTTCTTCGTGAACTTACTCTAGCCATTTCTTAAAGTTGTCGTGCAATATCGTACACAAAAATCGTGTCGACCTTCTTCGTGTACTTACTCTAGCCATTTCTTAAAGTTGTCGTGCAATATCGTACACAAAAATCGTGTCGACCTTCTTCGTGAACTTACTCTAGCCATTTCTTAAAGTTGTCGTGCAATATCGTACACAAAAATCGTGTCGACCTTCTTCGTGAACTTACTCTAGCCATTTCTTAAAGTTGTCGTGCAATATCGTACACAAAAATCGTGTCGACCTTCTTCGTGAACTTACTCTAGCCATTTCTTAAAGTTGTCGTGCAATATCGTACACAAAAATTCGTGTCGACCTTCTTCGTGTACTTACTCTAGCCATTTCTTAAAGTTGTCGTGCAATATCGTACACAAAAAATCGTGTCGACCTTCTTCGTGAACTTACTCTAGCCATTTCTTAAGTTGTCGTGCAATATCGTACACAAAAATTCGTGTCGACCTTCTTCGTGTACTTACTCTAGCCATTTCTTAAAGTTGTCGTGCAATATCGTACACAAAATTCGTGTCGACCTTCTTCGTGTACTTACTCTAGCCATTTCTTAAAGTTGTCGTGCAATATCGTACACAAAAATCGTGTCGACCTTCTTCGTGAACTTACTCTAGCCATTTCTTAAAGTTGTCGTGCAATATCGTACACAAAATTCGTGTCGACCTTCTTCGTGAACTTACTCTAGCCATTTCTTAAAGTTGTCGTGCAATATCGTACACAAAAATCGTGTCGACCTTCTTCGTGAACTTACTCTAGCCATTTCTTAAAGTTGTCGTGCAATATCGTACACAAAAATCGTGTCGACCTTCTTCGTGAACTTACTCTAGCCATTTCTTAAAGTTGTCGTGCAATATCGTACACAAAAATCGTGTCGACCTTCTTCGTGTGTACTCTAGCCATTTCTTAAAGTTGTCGTGCAATATCGTACACAAAAATTCGTGTCGACCTTCTTCGTGTACTTACTCTAGCCATTTCTTAAAGTTGTCGTGCAATATCGTACACAAAAATCGTGTCGACCTTCTTCGTGAACTTACTCTAGCCATTTCTTAAAGTTGTCGTGCAATATCGTACACAAAAATTCGTGTCGACCTTCTTCGTGTACTTACTCTAGCCATTTCTTAAAGTTGTCGTGCAATATCGTACACAAAAATCGTGTCGACCTTCTTCGTGAACTTACTCTAGCCATTTCTTAAAGTTGTCGTGCAATATCGTACACAAAAATCGTGTCGACCTTCTTCGTGAACTTACTCTAGCCATTTCTTAAAGTTGTCGTGCAATATCGTACACAAAAATCGTGTCGACCTTCTTCGTGAACTTACTCTAGCCATTTCTTAAAGTTGTCGTGCAATATCGTACACAAAATTCGTGTCGACCTTCTTCGTGAACTTACTCTAGCCATTTCTTAAAGTTGTCGTGCAATATCGTACACAAAAATCGTGTCGACCTTCTTCGTGAACTTACTCTAGCCATTTCTTAAAGTTGTCGTGCAATATCGTACACAAAAATCGTGTCGACCTTCTTCGTGAACTTACTCTAGCCATTTCTTAAAGTTGTCGTGCAATATCGTACACAAAAATCGTGTCGACCTTCTTCGTGTACTTACTCTAGCCATTTCTTAAAGTTGTCGTGCAATATCGTACACAAAATTCGTGTCGACCTTCTTCGTGTACTTACTCTAGCCATTTCTTAAAGTTGTCGTGCAATATCGTACACAAAAATCGTGTCGACCTTCTTCGTGAACTTACTCTAGCCATTTCTTAAAGTTGTCGTGCAATATCGTACACAAAAATTCGTGTCGACCTTCTTCGTGTACTTACTCTAGCCATTTCTTAAAGTTGTCGTGCAATATCGTACACAAAAATCGTGTCGACCTTCTTCGTGTACTTACTCTAGCCATTTCTTAAAGTTGTCGTGCAATATCGTACACAAAAATCGTGTCGACCTTCTTCGTGAACTTACTCTAGCCATTTCTTAAAGTTGTCGTGCAATATCGTACACAAAAATCGTGTCGACCTTCTTCGTGTACTTACTCTAGCCATTTCTTAAAGTTGTCGTGCAATATCGTACACAAAATTCGTGTCGACCTTCTTCGTGTACTTACTCTAGCCATTTCTTAAAGTTGTCGTGCAATATCGTACACAAAAATCGTGTCGACCTTCTTCGTGAACTTACTCTAGCCATTTCTTAAAGTTGTCGTGCAATATCGTACACAAAATTCGTGTCGACCTTCTTCGTGTACTTACTCTAGCCATTTCTTAAAGTTGTCGTGCAATATCGTACACAAAAATCGTGTCGACCTTCTTCGTGAACTTACTCTAGCCATTTCTTAAGTTGTCGTGCAATATCGTACACAAAAATTCGTGTCGACCTTCTTCGTGTACTTACTCTAGCCATTTCTTAAAGTTGTCGTGCAATATCGTACACAAAATTCGTGTCGACCTTCTTCGTGTACTTACTCTAGCCATTTCTTAAAGTTGTCGTGCAATATCGTACACAAAAATCGTGTCGACCTTCTTCGTGAACTTACTCTAGCCATTTCTTAAAGTTGTCGTGCAATATCGTACACAAAAATTCGTGTCGACCTTCTTCGTGTACTTACTCTAGCCATTTCTTAAAGTTGTCGTGCAATATCGTACACAAAAATCGTGTCGACCTTCTTCGTGTACTTACTCTAGCCATTTCTTAAAGTTGTCGTGCAATATCGTACACAAAAATCGTGTCGACCTTCTTCGTGTACTTACTCTAGCCATTTCTTAAAGTTGTCGTGCAATATCGTACACAAAAATTCGTGTCGACCTTCTTCGTGTACTTACTCTAGCCATTTCTTAAAGTTGTCGTGCACAGTTTGTCGCCTCAGTTGACAATCCTCCAACACTTCTTTGGCTTTTTCGAAATATTCCAGAAGACGCAATCTGCAACATGGAGAGGAACGACAAAAAAGTTAGAAATTTTTGTTTTAGATAATCCTTCTTCTTCGTCTAACTGCATTTTATTCGGGGGGGGGAGGGGGGATGTATAACGCCAAAAAATGTATTATCACTTGCATGAATACAATGAACTGAAAAGTTTATGTACCAATATGTACCTATATGTGCCTAGATCAAACACTATGAACACTAGTGCACTAACATATCCACTTAATCTAAATTTGTTTTCTTCAAAATATATTTACTGTCGCCTAATGCAGTTGGCCGTATAGTTCAACTAACATTCGACAGAACGTTTTGTTAAATTTAAATTTAACAAAGTTTTGTAATGGACAAAAAAACAACCACGTGAATAAACACATGAATTGAATGAGTGAAAATTGAAAAGTACTGCAAGGTACGTACCTAGCTACACATAGGATAACGTACAATAATGCATTTAACTTTTCACTGGTTCTTATTTTCTTTTGAAACAGCTTATTTACATTGTTTAAGGGAAAGTTATTTTTTCAGTAAGCAATTTGATCGAAACATTGGACAAACATAAAAAACTTTGCGACAAGTTTTGGTGATTTGAAATGAATAAATTTGCATAAATGCTATTCGTCATAATGTTTCGTCAAACCAGCGCAGTTTACCTTTCAAATTTATGATCTTCTAAGTCGCTTTGTACACATTCTACGGAAGATTTAAACATAGTAAAGTATATTATAAACGTAGTTTCTACGTTCTAAAAAACTTTAGGCCACAAGTTTTTGCTCATGATCAAGTAACCGAATGACGGATAGCCATTGAAATAGGCTACGGTGCATCTTTTACGCATTTTTAAGACATTGTCAATTTATACAAACATGGATAAGATTTGGCCGACGATTATATTGCAATTGTGGTTTTATGCGCAGTAACTTTATCACTATGAAATCAAATTTCATTTTCAGGCCTCAAATCCAAGGGAGGGGGAGGAGGGGATGAGCCCCGCACCTTTCAGTAAATAAATGGAGTACAGACTGTAAAGCATACGGATACTACTAACAGACCTTGAGATACTCACCCCCTTTCCAAAACAGATTTGCGCACTTGTTTCGTTTGCTTTTGAAGTACTTACCCATTGTATCAGAGAGATATTTTGTAACTCAAAAGTACCAAAGATTCGATGCGATAAAAACAATTTTAACTAGCGTAAACATTTCTCAGCGCATATACTGATGACAAAAATCTTAGTTTTGCTGCTCCTCTCTCATTTACCAATCGGATGAAATAATCGAACCCATGTCTCGATGCCTTTAACATCATTATATGTATTCACTTACGATGTTTTCTTTGAGAACGACAACCAAAACTATACACGATTTTCTCAACCTTTAGGGCGTACGTCTCGACGATCTTCGTACTACATTGACAACGAAGAATCATTAATAGCACTGTTTTTTCATCTGAGAGAGTGAACAGGCATTCTCATGACCAAGATCAAACAAATCTATATCAACAGTTTACTCACTAATTTTTAGCCTCGCCGACATTGTTCATGTTCTCCCATAGCTTCGTCAGTTCGTTTTCTAGCAGAAGAGATTGCGCGGTCGTTTGTAACAGCTTCAATGGTTCAGCCATTTGCATTTGAAGCTAAAAAGAGAATATACGAATCAACGTGGATGTGCGAGATAAAATGTTCCACGGTAACGCCATAAATACGACAGTCATAGAGCAAAACAAAACTTCTCTTTTTTACAG